ATCACTTGATTTTCTAATATATATTTTTTATTGTAAAGATACTGTACAGTTACATGAGTAAGGTAATGAGTACATTTCCTATCGAGCATTGTTTACCCCCTCCTTTGTTTTTCCCCTATCATCCCATCCCTTCCCCACCTTCCCAACTCCTCTCCCCCCACTAAAATATCACTTGATTTTTATCATCTAATATCACACTATATGGATGACAAAAACTGGCTATGATCATCTTATCCCAGCTCATTTTCCAGATGCTGAAACTAAGAGCCAGATACTGTTTGCACCTTATTCTCAATTATGTATCAAATGTGCCTTTGAAATTCCTTTTAAGTCCTTGTGAAGTACACAATGTGCAGTATTTTACACTAGCATTTGCATGTCACAAAGGCATACACTGCATCACAATTTCATTCTCATTGTTTTGTGGGCCTTGTGCTTGTAATACAGGTGTTCTACCACTTGAGCTACTCCTCTAGCCTTGGAAGTAGGCTCTTAGTTTACGTCCTGGCCAGTATGGGCTATAATCCTTCTGCTCGTGCTTCTCTGAGGAGAAGGGATGAGCGGCATACAACACTGCACCCTGCTACCATTCTTCCCTGAGCTGGGATAAGGGGCACAGGCCACTGCACCCAGGCACTGGTTAGGATGATCTCAAAAATCTTATGAGTGATCTGACTTCAAGCTAGGATCCCTACCTCATCTCCACCTCCCAAGTAGCTAGGATTACAGGTTTGAGCCACCAGCACGTTTATTAAAAAAAAAAAAAAAAAAAGGCTACTATGCTCCAATGTCAAAAAAAAAAAAAAAATCCATGTTTTTAGCCAAACACCAAATGAAGTAAGCTGGCCCAGGAAAAACTGGGGAGTGGTGGGGGAAATGTCTATACTGAACAAACTTTTTTTCCCTTATTATCATTTAAATAGAATTTACAATTATACTAAGTGTTATAAAGTGTAGGATTGTATAGGTTATGTGTAAATACTGCACCATTGTATATAAGGATCTTGAACATCAGAGGATTTGGGTGTCTGCAGGGATGCAGAGCCAATTCCATGTAGACACCAGAGAGAATATATTTGGCTTTGATTGCATTTTGCAAACACCGCAAAAATAGCTCTAAGAACTTGTATCATTTAGCACTGCAAGATGCTTGGATCCTTAGACCACAAAGGGAACCAAGACCACTTGAGTATACTAGCTAATTTTTGGGCTCCTCTCACTGGGTGAACATTCAACACAATTGTCCTAGCTCTTTACACAGCACCTTTTTAATCCCATGCCTGTACAACTGCAGGACATCTTCCACCCAGTCCGGCCACGAGGATAGTGATCCCAGCAGCCCAGAAACAACGTTTTACAACACCCCACCCTGGGCTCTTTCCACAAAATCTTTCTCTTTTCAGTTCTTCACTGCCTAATCCTTTGCAGAACATGTCATCTGTTAGGACTGAGTTGTTGGTGCTGCAACCAGACCTAGGAAAGGTGTACGTACAATTGAACACTGGAAATTTTCAACCAGACCTAGGAAAGGTGTACAATGAACAGTGGAAATTCTCAACCAGACCTAGGAAAAGTGTACAATGAACTGTGGAAATTCTCAACCAGACCTAGGAAAGGTATACATTGAACACAAAATTCTCAACCAGACCTAGGAAAGATTTACACTGAACACTGGAAATTCTCAACCAGACCAAGGAAAGGTGTACACTGAACACTGGAAATTCTATCACTATCTCCTTTTTAAGACCAGGCAAGGTTTCAGAGTATTTTCCCTTTACCACTCTGCTCCTTTCCACAAGGGAAGGCCCTAATAGCAAGGGGGAAAAAAAGAACCCTTCATATGTGTAGGAATGAAAATACTACGTGCAAAACTCAAGACAGGAAGTTTAAGAAAGGCCTCATTCACTCCCATACAGTATGTAGTGTTCCTTCAGGAAATTTACCTCAGAGAAAGTATTAAAATGTGGGAGACCTCAGCAGAAAAACAAACACCAGCACAGTAACCAGGGAAGGAACTGCTTAGCAGAAATGAAAGCATTACACATGAGAACATGTGCTCTATGAATAAGTACATACAGATTTTTCTCTGTAGTTACACAAATGAAAAATAAGTTAAAAGTTTCTTTTGATCAGAAGCAAATTCTCTAAAACGTCAAGCAGAAGAAAACTCTGAAAATTCCATCCCTTTTCATAACTATAATTAGTTATTCCTCTTTGATTTTGTTTGTTTGTGAGGGTTACAGTTTAAGGGTAAGCTGTTCAAGTTTAATCTATTTTTTTGTTGCCAGCATGAATCCTGGAGTTTTCTATTTCACACATCAATTCACCTGCAGTACAATTTTGAGCCTCCCTTCATGGTCTAGTGTGGCAAAAGTTTTCTTAAATCACATCAACAGGAATTTTCACATATTCCTTAAAGGGGGGGATGAGGGGAGTCAAAGGTTTATCATTTCCTTGATTTGTGCATCAAAGGTTCCAACAGAACACCAAGAGAAAGCAACTCAGAACAATAGCAATCACAACCCCACACACATTATCAACACCCTAAAATAAACCCACATGATTCTGGGTTCCTCCAACTAAATTTTCAGAACACCTTGTCTAAGGACTCTGAGCATTTTTTCACAGCATACTAGTTTATGTAGTGAAACCAAACCTACGAACTGACTCGCTGATGGCTCCTCCTTGAAGAAATGGTTCTATTAGCAAGGACAGTTAAGTGTCACTGCTGAGGGGAATATTCAAGTCCACATGAGCTTTGATTATGAGCTACGATATAAAGACATAATCACCACTGCCTCCATATAACAAATAATACTGTCATGGCTGGTGGCAAGGACTCCTCTTTGGAAATAGCTCTCAGTAAGCATCTAGCATTTTGAACATCGTAAGGGTGATAAAAATAATAATAATAATTTAAAAAAAACAAAAAACTTTATATTCTGAGGCTTAAACATTCAAAGATCAAATCTTGAGAGCCATATGCTATAATGGAGGTGGATGCTATAAATTTTCATCGATATCTAAGTGACAATGGCACAACCATGTTTAATATGTGGTTCGTGAAGTAGTTCCAAAAATGACTCCAGAAACACAAAAGCATCCAGGCCCAAAAACAGCTTATTTCAACTAATATCTACAATTTATTGGAAAATCTGCAAAGTACAGTGTAACATGTCACATACGCTATACCTCAATCACGCCTCATAAAAAACCCTATGAGGTAGGTATTACATCTTACAGATAATGCAAGCTTCATAAATAGCCCATTTGCCCACTTCCCACAGCTAGGGAAAAGTTAAACTATAATTTTATCTTAATCCGTCTCGCGGGGGCGGGGGGTGGGGGGGGTGATGACCTTTTCTCCATGTTTTTTGGGTGGTACCAAGGCTTGAATTCAAGGCCTCACACTCGCTAGGCAGGCACTCTGCCACTTGAGCCATGTCCCCAGCTCCCCCCAGCTTCTCTTTTTTTTTTTGGGTTCAGTCGTGGGGCCTGAATTCTGGGCCTGGGCACTATCCCTCAGCTCTTTAGTTCAAGGCTAGCGCTCTACCACTAGAGCCACAGTGCTACTTCCGGCTTTTTTCTTTTTGCTTATGTGGTGCTGAGGAATTGAACCCAGGGCCTCAGGCATGCAAGGCAAGCGCTCTACCACTGAGCCACCTTCCCAGCCCATTCCCCCCAGCTTTTCAAAAAGAAACAAAACCACTTATTTTAGGGTTCGTACTAGATCAGGACCATCACTGACTGAATAGTGATTCTGAACAATTGTTTCCTTTTGTTGATTCTGCTAAAATGTCTTCGGAAGGGCATTACTGGTGAAGCTGCCCAATAAGCCCTCTGAAACAAAATGCAATATTGGCATAAATTATACTTTTAGGACTTTACCTTACAGCTATTTCCTACATACATATGTAATAACAGCAAATTCACTGTTTATCACTCTATTAGCAAAACAACTTAAGCACTGGATCTGAGATGTAGCTCAAGTGGTAGAGTACTCATTTTGAATGGAAAAAGCCAAGTAAGAGTGAGAGGCCATTGAATTCAAGTACCAGTGTGCTCACATGTGTATACACACAAACTACACACTTACCAGCAGCAGATTCAATTATGGTATACCCATTCAACTAATATGGAATGATATGGAATGATCTCCATTAAGAAATTTAAAAAAAAAAGCTATGCATAGTGGCTCACATCTGTAATCCTAGCTACTCAGGAGGCTGAGATCTGAGGACTGTGGTTCCAAGCCAGTTGGGCAGGAAAGTCCATGAGACTCTTATCTCCAATAAACTACTGAGAAAAAACTGGAAGTGGTGGTGTGGCTCAAGCCTTGAGCACAAAGAGGCTCAGGGACAGCACCAGGTCCAGAGTTCAAGCCCCAGGACTGGCAAAAAAAATCAAGACCATACCATTTAATGAGAGAAAGAGAGAAGGAGAGAGAAAAATGCAGCAATATGTTTAAGCAGACTCTTCAAAGGTACAGAGTAACTGCTTAAGACAGTTTTGAGCCCACAGTTCAAGACCAACCTGAGACTCCATCTCCCCACCCCTTACTACAAATAGTTATTTCTGATTATAGAAACAAAGTATCAACTATGGAGCTGTAGATTTTAGTATGAACTTGAACCACACTTTCCTTAGGAGAATCACTATGAAGTTATAATGTAAATACATTTTTAATGTGAAAAGTTGTTAACACTTCCTTTACCAAGAACTTCTCATTTATCCATCACGTAACATCAAAAGCATCTGCAGTCTCAAGAACAATTCTTCAGAACAAATTTATCATGAAAGAAATAAATGTATACTAAATAAACTGTGAATTCTACTGAGACAAAAGGAACTGTTTTGCATTTTCTGAAAATTCCCAATTTTGACAGGACTCTCAAAATATAATTTCTCAGCAAATAACTAATTGATTTATGGGTTAAATTATCAACTGTGGAACTGACTGACAAAAGTATAAAATAAATGGATACTTAACCATAAACTGGCTTCTATACATTAATTTTAATTACTTTGAGGCAACAAAATTTAGTAACAAGTGTTTAACAAGCACCCATCATAATTGCTAAACTACAAAATCAGCATTACTTTTATCTGATCACCTATACAAAACTCATCAATTTTTCTTTTGACAAAAGATAGTAGAAACTCCAAACAACAGGGGAGAAACTACGAATTAAAGGTCTTGTTTGCTAATCTAGCACCATAATTCCAGTCTTAGAGCCTCCCAAGGAGACAGAAGGAAGACAGGGGAGAGACAAGGCTGTTGGAAGCAGAGGATTTCTGAACTCGAGGCCCCCTTTCTGCTCTGAGGCAACACCCAGGGTCTAGCAAGGAGGAAACGGCTGAGGGGAGATAAGCACAGAAGCTTTGGGTCAGGAGGTAAAGGAGCTCTCCGGCGTGCTGGGCAGAACCCGTGAATCCAGAATGAGTGCTGGAGTGGAGAGTGCCTCAGGAACTGGGGGGTTTCTTCTTGGCTTCCAAGTCCTTTTTGATCTCTTCAATTTTTTTAGCCAGGTTTGGTATCTTTGAAAAGAAAAAGGATTATTATAATGTTGTATCTACCGCATCAGTATTTTACAGTTTCATAAGTTCTTATTTCCACTGAAGGAGACCTGCTTAATAGTGATTATTTCTTAGCCTCATAAAATTCATCAGTAGGGGGCTGGAGGAGAAAGGAGATGGTGAGGTGGAGTGACTAATAAAACAACAGAAAAAGGATTATAGCTCAATGTTCTGCAATCTACTAGATGGGCAATTTGTTTCTAATACATGTGCTTTCTGAATACAGGAACAAAAGAGAGAGAGAGAGAAAGATGAGAAGCATATGTTAATGTTCCCTCTGAAAGCCAAGCCTGAGATACCTATACTTAACCTCTCTATCTGGTGCTAAGTAAAATTATACGTATAAATAATAAATGCCCCTGCCTAGAACACCAGAATCAAGTGAAGGCTGACAGAGGGAAGTTCTACTACAAATCATTAGTATATTTCCCTTGCTTGTCCTTGTAAAATACGCCACCAATTTTAACTTCCTTGGCTAAGGAATATGACTTCTCACTTCAAAAACTTCCTTCAGTGTAAACACCATAGAGATCTATATCCAAAATTCTCGATTCTACTACTGGCTAAGGGATGAGGTGCTTAAAAGATTATCTACTCTTTTAAATTCTCACTTGTTACATGGCTTTCCACAGAACTCTGGTCTAACGAGACCACCTAAACTGATGGGATTTTGCCCTCTGGTGGTGATATGAGGAAAACATGCTCTGTGAGATTGTTTTTTCAGACTGAAAGGTTTTTTTTTTAAAATAAAATTTGGATTTTTCCCTCAGACCTGTGAACCTCATTTATGCTAGAAGGTATCCTGTACTTCAGTGCTTTCAAAGAAAAGTTACAATACTGCAAAAAAGAAGTAGTTACACAGAATGGAGGGAAATGTGAATATGGCCACTTACATCATAGTTCTGAGCCAGATACATTCCAACCACGTTGCCCAAAGTAAATCCAAGCTGAAAGAATAGAAGAAGAAGAATTATCTGCATACCAAGTCCTGAGCCAGTCTGTGACTAAACCAAAAAACACAGACGATGTCTTCCTAAGGAGTTCAAGATCAGTAAAGAGCCCTAGTGTCCAGTGTAAGATAAGACACAACATGATTCATGTTTTTCTTCTACTAAGTGACCCAGATAAACCCTTCCCAAAAGATTAAAAAACATATAACAAAGAATAAATGGAGGTGATGGACACACTTAGCATAAATCTCCTTGTCCCTTTATAACCCATAAATTCTTGACCATAAGTTCTAAGAATCCAAGTCAAAAGTTCTGATTTTGTTGCTAAATGCTACATTTCCTTTTTTTTTTAACTTTAATTTTTATTTTTTGTGAACATACTGTACAGAGGGGTTACAATTACATGGGCAAGATAATCCTTTTTTTTTGAAGTGGGGGATTATGGATATAATTAACTTCTGTATAACACATAAAAATTATTCAATTTATTCAGTTGAGCCTGAAGCTGGTGATTCACAGCCTCCTACTCAGGAGGCTGAGATCTGAGAATCAAGGGTCAACGCCAGCACAGGCAGCAAAGTCCGTGAGACTTAATTTCCAATTAACTACCAAAAAGCTGGAAGTGGAGTTATGGTTCAAGTGGTAGAGTGCTAACCTTGACAAAAAAAACCTTAGGGACAACACCCAGACCCATGTCCTAGGAGCACATGTGCACAAACACGCAAACACACACACACGTACACACACAATATGTACATATGAATCATAGTTTTTAGAGAATGAGGGGACTCTCATGTTTTGATCTTCTATTTCAAAAGATCAGCTTGATGTCCAGAACAGTCAAGTAACCCCAGCCAGGGTCATTCCCAACAAAGAGCACATCCACAAGCTAAATATATGTAATGACAGAAAAGAATAGGGAACTCTGACTCACCACGGCTAGAGTCTAATGGCAAGATACTTAAGGTCATGGGCTGGGAAGGTGGCTCAGTGGTAGAGCACTTGCCTTGCATGCTCGAGGCCCTGGGTTCGATTCCTCAGCACCACATAAGCAAAAAGAAAAAAGCCGGAAGTGGCGTTGTGGCTCAAGTGGTAGAGCGCTAGCCTTGAGCTGAAGAGCTGAGGGACAGCGCCCAGGCCCAGAGTTCAGGCCCCACGACTGGACCCAAAAAAAAAAAAAAAAAGATACTTAAGGTTTGTGGAGATCAGGGCTCCACATGGATAGACATAATTTTTAGGGAACTATACATGTTTATGCCATTGGATAACTATTTTTCTGAAAAAGCATTGCTTCATGAAAATTTAGAGAACTCTCTATACAAAGAAAGGGCCAAAGCTCCTTATCTTTGAGTACTGAAGATGATAATTCTGTTTTTCCCTAGTAATTAAGAGCCTCCATCTAAAGCCTGATTTCTCACTTAATAAATGCAAATTATCATCGACTTTTAAAAATCATCTTGTTAATTCTGTGTTGCTTGTGTTCAATCTCAATAGAGAGCTTACACTTGAAAAAGTCTGGCACTCAACCCACCATCATTCATGACCACCAGGGAAGTTTATACAGGAAAAGTGACATCTAAACCTTAGAAACAATAACTTGGTCTCAGAAGTTAAGGGAAGGTCTTGAATACATCTAAAACCTCTCTATAGGCAGAGTGAATTTGCTTGTTCTAGGCCAAGACCTAGAAGTCTCTGTAGCTCCTGCAAGCTGGATGCTATCTCCAGGTCTCCTCTATACCCCACTTCCCCAGAACAGTCAGAAAGGAGTGAGCTGCCTTCTTGTCAAGCTTGGCACTGAGCATGCTTATACCACAACTCCTCGTCAGGCATTCTGAGATTTTAGGACTAAGTAGATGCTTCTCACAAACACACTGGAAGCAATGATGAAGTAAAACACTACACGTCTGAGGACAGAGGGATGCCATGAGGAAAGCTGTGTATGTGACAGCTGGTGAAAAGAAGAAGCTGAGCTAGCAAGCCCAGAAGGGGAGCTGGACTGGCCCAGAGCAGTACACAACAGAGCAAAGGCATTTTCCCCACCTACAGAGTAGATGTGGTAAGTGAACCTCCACAACCCACTACCCACAATTCGGAAACCAAAACTCTATCTAAACTATGTTTCATCAGAACTCACTTGGCAAAATCACACCTGACTTGAACTGATATGACTGTGTATGTATGTGTGCCCACACATGTGGTTATTCCCTTTAGAGATAGGATATCGCTATGTAGCCCAGGCTGAGCTTCAACTTGAAATCTTCCTGCATCAGCCTCCAAAGTGCTAGCATTACAGGAATGTGCCACCATATTTAGTTTTTATAGCCTTAACATCCTTGAGTGAAATTAATTTTTTCTTTCCACATAAATAAAAATATTTAGGGCTGGGAAGGTGGCTCAGTGGTAGAGTGTTCTCCTTGCATGCATGAGGCCCTGGGTTCGATTCCTCAGCACCACATAAGCAGAAAAAACTGGAAGTGGTGCTGTGGCTCAAGTGGTAGAGCGCTAGCCTTGAGCTGAAGAGCTGAGGGACAGTGCTCAGGCCCAGAGTTCAGGCCCCATGACCAACCGGAAAAATAAATAAATATAGGATCCTGCCATAGACCCCACTGGAAGATACCCTTAACATCAAAATTTTAATGTACTGATTTTCAAGTGCTATTTAAACACTGTTGCAGTGAAGTATCAAATTATGTATGTTATTATCCTTCTAAAATCTGAAATCTGACTTTCAATATAAATCTAGCCTCCAAATTTTAGACTCTTAATATACTAAAATTAACTCCATACTCAGTTCTCTGAGGGTTCAAAGTAGTACTTAGAGGGCTGGGAAGTTGGCTCAGTGGTAGAGTGCTTGCCTGAGGCCTGGGTTAGATTCCTCAGCACCACATAAGCAGAAAAAAGCCAGAAGTGGCACTGTGTTTCAAGTGGTAGGGCACTAGCCTTAAACTGAAAAGTGGAGGGACAGGGTCCAGGCCCAGAGTTCAGGCCATATGACCCACAAAAAAAAGAAAAAAGTAGTACTTAAGAGTTCATTTACCAGCACAAGTCAGCACCAGCACCAGACCTTGAATGGTACAGACATTCCAAAAACCACAGCCAGGTCATGCATTAAGTGGCAAACCGAATGACATGGAGGCAATTCTTTTAAAAGTTACACCTTAAAGAGATAGACGTATCACAATGTTATTAAAAGTTCTAAATATTCTGAAAAACTGTTAAAATCTAGTAGCAAGAGAACTGGGAACTAAAAGGGGAGCTAGTGCTTGTAATCCCAGCTACTCAGGAGGCTGAGATCTGAGGATCACAGTTCAAAGCCAGTCAGTCCATGAAATTCCTATCTCCAATTAGCCACCAGAAAACCAGAAGTGAAGCTGTGGTTCAAAGTAGTAGGGTGCTAGCCTTGAGCAAAAAGAGCTCAGGGACAGTGCCCAGACCCTGAGTTCAAACTACACAACCAAAAAAAAAGAATTGAGAATTAAAAACAGAGATCAAGGCAAATGGTAATAAAGACATGATGATGACGAAATAGAACAGGCCTGACTACCTACAGTGGGCAGGGCCAGTTGCTGGCAAGCAACCCTGCTGCTAGCAAGCAAAGGAGTTTGGTTCCCATGTAGTAATGATAGGGAGCCACTGCTTACTGGCAGAAAGATAATGAAAGCCCTGTTTTGGGAGTATTTATTTGATATATGTTCTGAGAGAATGCTTCGTAAGTACAGATTAGAAACAGGTCACAACAGTGTGGTGGCCCATAAGACAGCAAGCAAATAAGAATAAACTGTCTCCTTAAATGTCAGTGATGGGCTGGGAATGTGGCCTAGTGGTAGAGTGCTTGCCTAGCATACATGAAAGCCCTGGGTTCAATTCCTCAGTACCACATAAACAGAAAAAGCTGGAAATGGTGTGGTGGCTCAAGTGGGAGAGTGCTAGCCTTGAGCAAAATGAAATTCAGGGACAGTGCCCAGGCCCTGAGTTCAAGCCCCGAGATTGGCCAAAAAAAAAAAAAAGGCCAACGATGATGGATAGAGAATCCAAGAATATTTACATTTATGATTTGCAACAATCCCTTGGTGTTATGACATTCAATGGGGAAAGAATCATCTTCATCTTCAAGAAATGGTGTATCTAATACACAAAAATTAAAATGTATCAAAGCCCCAAATGTTGGTGTTAAAACTATTAAATACCTAGAAGAAATGACTCAGGAGTAAGTCTTCAGTGGTAACACGCCAGTGACAAAAGAAAAAAATGGATGCATAGGCCTGATAAAAGTTTAAAATGTTTACATTTCACTATTAACAGGAAAAAAGTAGACAATTAGGGTAAAATAGTTGCAAATCTGATAAGGTAGTTATACCTAGAATAAAGAAATCTTGCGGGGCTGGGAAGGTGGCTCAGTGGTAGTGCTTGCCTTGCATGCATGAGGCCCTGGGTTCTATTCCTCAGCACCACATAAGCAGTAAAAAGCTGGAAGTGGCACTGTGGCTCAAGTGGTAGAGCACTAGCCTTGAGCTGAAGAGCTGAGGGACAGTGCCCAGGCCCAGAGTTCGGGCCCCATGACTGGCAAAAAAAAAGAAAGAAATCTTGCAACTAAATGATAGATACACCGTACAATTTTAAAAAGTGGGAACATGACTTGAAAAGATTTCTCCAAAGACACAAATGGTCAACTAGCACATGAAAAGATGTTTGGCATCATTAGTCCCTGAGGAAACACAAATTAAAGCGCCGTGCCACTCACTTGATATCTTTAATTAACATACTTTTTAAAAAGAAAACAAATATTGACCCGTGGGAATGTGAAATGGTACAGCTACTGGAGAAAATAGTCTAGCAATTCCTCAAAAACCTAAGCTCACAGTTCCCACATGAACAACTGCTCTTGAGGGTACAGACTCAAGCGAAGTGAAACACATACCCCACAAAAGCTTGAATAGGACTATTCCCAGCAGGAATACTCTTAATAGCCAAAAGGTAGAAACAATTTCAATGTTCTT